TGTTTGGCTGCCTGCCTGCCAGGTTAAACTGCAACAGAAGCATTAAAAGATGAGATGAGGGGGTCTCCGTCTGCTTGGCCTTGGCAGAGCAACTGCAGGCAGTGCCTTGTCGCATTCCCATTTCAAGGGACCCAGCCAGCCCAGGGAAGACGCCCTGGAGAGGGGTTTGCCCAGGAGCTGCGTCCCACCCTCCTCCTGCCTCTCCCCAGGGTTGTTTGGTGCAGGCCAGCATGGGCTAAGCCCATGACTACTGCTTTAGTGCCTATATTGCCCTCCCCATCAGCAACTACAAGCCTTTCCTGGAGGGTGAAACTCATTTTAACCATGAGGCCAGTCCCACCGAGGACACGGAGCTCGAGCTTTGTTCATCACCCGGAAGTGGAGATGAGTCACTGCCACGCAGAAATGCAGTCCGGAAGAGGACTAGGTCTTCCAGCACTGCGACTTCTCCTTTCGACAAGCGGCATCTCGCACAAGTGAGGTGGCTGTGCCCGAGCTCACCGGGCAGACAGACGGCACGAACAGTCAGCAGAACACAAAAATCTCGGCAGCTTTCACTCTCCCGAAGGTGCATGTTAAGCGTGTGGGTGAGACGGAGGGAAACGTTTTGCTTCAGGGAATACAAAAGTGCAAAACTCAGGACACTTTTCTTGTGTAAAAACTTACATAAGTTTATTGAACTGATCCAAACCAATTACCTATTTGGCCTGAATTCCACTGCTAAGTCTGCGAACAAACCAAAGGCAAATTGTGGGAGCGGGGAAGTATATTCCCCGTGAGAGAAACCAGAATAAAAAACGAGATGGACTTACAGGTCTTCCTTTTTCTTTAAAATGACATATGGATGCATCATTAATAGGGAGCAAGAATAGACCTTCATGTTTAAATTATATTTGAAGTTTCCAGTAACTGCAGAAAAGGAATCAGAGAGGCAAAGGCCCGGGATGGCTCAAGCCCCTCTAACGTTGCTCTGGGGAAGGCGTCTCTACCGCCTACAGAAGCGCCACATTCAAATGAGGGAGGCACAGCTGCCAGGAATACATATTTTAGCCTCTGGGCTGCTTTCAGCACCTTGTTTGCATTTTCAAATCCGCACACGAACAGAACCTACAGAATCTCATTTACAAGCAAAAACGGCAACGCACGGAGGCCGAGCCGCCGCGTCACCTTCTTCGGATTACAGACCCAAGTAGGCAAGGGCAAACTGAGAGCCTCTCCCCAGAAGCAACGAGTGCCATTAGGCGCAGTTCCTCCGAGCTGCTCCAAGCCACCACGGGCCGCACTGTATCATCTGCCACCAGGATGTATGCAACTCCCAATAAAGGGGGTTACAAATCCCACTGAGGGAGCAGAGGACAGTCGCCACGCCATGCATATTTGTAACATCGCCAGTTAGGCGATCTGCCTGAAACATCTGGTCAAAACATGGATATTCAATAGGAATGTAACCAAAAACACAACGGCACAGCATCTAATCTCAATACATGGAGCCGTGCAACACTTTGGTATATAGCTGTCACCTAATTCCTTCCGAATCAGGTGCTTTTCCCACTGCGTAGGCTGCCTGCGGCAGACTTTTATGCATGAACAACAAAACAGTTCTTGACAAAAGTAGCCCTCGGATAGAAGGACACAAAAGCTACAGAAGCTTGCAAATCTATTTTGTTTTCTTAAAGGAACGTGACAGAAACCGGGACCTTTTGCTAAAGTGGGTATATGCCAACAACACCCGGACACAGCCCCTCGTGACATTGCATCGATTTAAATCAAACCGTCCGCCCCCTCAGGACCCTCCTAGATTCTCGGCACCCACCGGTGGCCCCAAACCCCTTCTCTCGCTCAGAGCCCTCCCCTCTTTCCGCAAGACACGGTCCCCTGTTAAGTGGTAACATGGCACAATACAAGACCCTTTCCCAAAAGGTATTACAAAAGGAAAGTGAGCCAGCTTGGGCTATTTTGCCACATTGGTTGCACGCCATTTGGCCCTGCTTTTCAAAGTCAATCATCTGGATGTATAAACTGTCCCCAGGTTTTGGACGCAACTCTCTCCTTGGGAAGCCAACCAAGATTTTTGGTTTCCACCCCACGAGTGCTCTGCTAGCTGTGCAGAAGGTGAATGGCTTGAGAACGTCGTCCAGAAACAACCTTCCCCCAACGAAGCGGCAAGGCGGCGATATTCGTAGCCTGACTTCTGCTGACCTGAACAGACTAGGGGAGCCGGTTTGGGTGTTAGCACCAAATCCCCAGCAGCTACATGGCGCTTGTCGACCTCGTATGCCAGTAGGTGTTCTCTTTTTCCATCTTCCAGTTCCCATCAGGTCCGCCGTAAATAAAAGCGTGATTTACTGACAGTTCTGAGCCACCGGGGTGACAGCACCGTTCCCTCCATGGACAGGCTAACCTTTTGTGGGTGAACAAACTTACAAGCACATACTTGGGTCTTCTTTAACATCCCATTCAATTCTTTAATGGTCTGTTTATTTCCTTCTCTGAAACCGAGACATTTAATTGTGCTGAGGAAGTTGGTCAATAGTTACAGCATCTCATTAATACCAGTTACAATGCCATAAATATACCCACATAGGCGATTACTGCTCTATAGAATTAGGTCAGAGATACTTTTGCATCCCCGTCAGTCACTTACCTCTGACACTGCAGCGACTGAGGGATAACCTACTTAAACTGGAGATCAAGGGGAGAAATAGGCTTCTAATATTAAACAACCATATCTTCATAAAACTTTGTTTTATAACAAAATATCTTATTAAACACAACTTTTCCTATGCGTATGTTATGTATATATCATACAGAAGTGTTGGCTTAAGAATTCTGCTATAAGGCAGCAAATGCCTTTCTCTGCCCAAATGGAAAATACATCTTCAGTAAAGCTCTAGCTTATAAAAGCGTCATCTTATGTTACACTGCCACCATCTCCCCGCTCTTTTGTTTTACAGGTACCACGGCTCCGCAGCTACGTGCCGCGGCCTCTACGCTACCTACGGCAAGTCTTGCTCCATTTCCTATTGCTCATCTCAGTGGGGCCAGGAGATTGACATTTTTTGACAGGGGGATGAGGCACAAATTATTAACTTGTCTTAAATCCTCCCATTTTTAATCATTACTCTGGATGCAGAACTACTCCCCTCCGAACGGTCCCCACATCCTGAACCTGAAGACTATGAGATAATACTTCACTCCCTCCCCATCCTACCCCACCCCACGATCTAGGTAAAATATGAAGAGAAATACACAACTCCAAGAATATAAAAGGAGCTCAGGGATGTGGACAAAAGCATCATGGGAAAGAAAGTGCACGTGGGGACAACGGAGCATTTCAAAATTAAGGTCAGAAGTTCATGTGTAACTAGAGCCCTCACTGCACAGCTTCAAAAACTTTTATGCAGCTGCTTATAACAAGGTAATTTGAAGTCTTCAACTTGTCAGAGGGACAGAGGAACAAGGGAGGACGCAGGAAAGCGAAACAAGAGAAAGAAAGGAAGGAGGATTTCATCGCACAAGAAAGGGAATCTGCTCTGCAGTAGAAAACAGGGGCTAATTTAAGCAGCGGCACGCGATGCCTACAAGGTGCGTGTGGGGGGAAGCCAATATAGATAGTGAAAACCTGCTTTACAATAAATGTGAGTTCTAGTTGCTTTGTTACTCATCTTCTAGAAACTGATCCGAGCCAACACATTCTCCTAGTTTGGACCCTAAGCAGGGACCCCACAGACAGGGGCCCCCGGGGAAAGTGCTAGGTTTCATTTCTGGTGCAACAGCAACAAACACAAACTTCAACTTTACTCTCACTCTCTCCCAGGAGAGCAATATTAGCCATTCCACTTTTGGTACAAACTGGTACAAGGTTAAGTGCATATTGGAGGATCTCTTCAGCATCACGGGGATGAATCATGGCCAATGGGGGAATCTGCTCTTCAACCCCTTTTTGACCTGCTACTCTAGAAGCCCTTCCAACGCCAGGCCCATCCACCGCCTTCCAAAATTCACTTTGCAACACATGCGGCGAGGGTCCCTTTGCCTCCAGATTGCCAGTGCTACAGGTTGCAGACACTGTGTGAGAAAATAAATTGTTTCTTTCTAACAGGGTCTCTTTCCTTCCCCCATTTTGTGCACTCACACAAACCAAACCAGTGGAGTTAAGTGGATGCACTAAATACCTGAGCTCAGAATCAAGTGGAATACTGTTTTAGATCTTCTCAGTGAACTCGAGCGCAACAAAAGGTTGAGACAGCACCCAGCTGCAAAAAAATACTTCAGCAAGCTCGAGCCACAGTCAGATAGCTAGGCCAATGGGTGCTCTGGTGGAGCCAAAACCCCAAAAATTTAGAAAAAGAAAAAAACAGGTCAAATTCTGCACCGAGCTATCTTCTCCCTTACAGGCCCTAGCATTCTTTAGCTTGAACAACTGACCATTCATGCCAAATCACGAGTATACCGGAGCATCGAAGAAAACATCAAGGTATTGCACACACTGAAACACACGCACTGAAGTCAATTGTCACCTCAAGGTCACCTGCAGTGGATGGTGGGCATGGTTCTCAGATCAGGGCACTCCCTCCGGGCTACGAAATTACCTGCTACAGAAACACAACCAAACCTCAACCAACCGACCGAAATAAAAACCTTGCAAAAACTCCTTAATGCATGTGTGTGGGTGTGTGGGGGCAGATGTGTGCACGTGCGTGCACTCACAACGTCAAAAGAGGCTATTTCATTCTGGGCTCCACATAAATTTTGTCCCCATCCCGAATGCCGTAAGAATGCAGTGCTCGCGAGCTGTATTTCATTTCCTCGGGACCAAAGGGAGCTTCCTGGTCCAAGTAGAAGAGCAGCATGTTGCTGGTTGACAACTGCACCACAGTTTTTAAGTGCTTCTTCAATTCTGCCACAGTCTGATCGAGACGGATCGACATCTCTTCCACCTTATCCTGGAAGTGAACCTCCACCTTCACGCTGCTCTGTGGCCGAAGATCCACGACTGCCAAGGGTTCCAGCTTCCCGTACTTCGTGACCAGCTCGTGATACCTGAAAAATTAAACAAGTCCAGAGTTACAGTACAGTTGCTCATACAGCCAATGCACAAGTCAGCTTCTGTTTCACATCATGATACTACCCCACTTTAGCTGCAATCATCCAAGGACACTACTAGGTTGCAAAGTATAAACGAACACCTGCATGGAGAGTACTGTGACCGGATGACAAGCAGGTAAGCGCAGATTCCATGGCGCAATTCATCTAAAGCCCAGAACTCTGACAAGAGCTAAAACCAGAAGCGAGACAGCAATGAGCTGTCCCCATCCTCCATGTCAGTGACTAGCTGGCATATGGCCCTTCAGAAACATCTCTCAGTTTAACCAGCACTTCGCCCAAGGTGGGAAGGATGGATGAGGCTCCCACGAGTAAAGAACATCGCTGTGCTAGCATTCAAAGCCCATAAGTGCATGCCTCTCCCCATACAAGTCTCCCACCCAGCTGCGACTAAAGGAAAACCCCAGCTTTCTTCTCCATTTGCCACCAAATCTCTCACGCTTTGGGGAGCTGAATGTTCCTCATGTGAGACAACATTCACCCCGATTCAAGTCTGATGACCTGAACAGACATCCATTAGGAATAAATCTGGATGGTATGAATCCTATTTTCTCCCCTGCCAGCATGACACTTCACAGAGCACACAGTGTTTCTCAGGCAAGGTGCTGAAAAGGAGAAAATAGAAAGCCCATCCACTCCAGTCACCTTGTCTCATAGTCCCCAAGCTGCACCGTGGCACTGACATGAACCCGAGTGAGCATTCAACTAGGGAGGAGGTATCTAGCTGAGGAAGGTGAAGTTATGTCCCTGCCCACAGCAGGGGGGTTGGACTAGATGACCTTTAAAGGTCCCTTCCAACCCAAACTATTCTATGATTCTATCACCAACCTGAGACGTTTGAGCTGACTGGTCTCAAAACAGCTACCTGAACAAACTGAGCAGCGAAGCTCTCTACTGGGCCCCTACAATTCCAGAAACCCCAGCCATGGCTGCAGTGGGATTTGGAAGAAAGAGAGGATGCTACAGCTACACTTGCGAGACTCTACACCTCCTGCTCCAGTAAAAACACTTCACTAGAGAGTGCCAGAACCAAGCTAGTGCTCACACAAAGGATATGGCCCTCAGTCCAGATTCCCAGTATCTGTGGCTTCACAGCCTGACCGA